AAAGAGGCTGAGTCAGAGAGCAATGAGGACGAAGCGTGGACACATACCTCTTCCTCGGGCGTGAAGTCGTTGACGATGTTGAAGAGCTTGCGAATTTCCTCGGGAGTCTTGCCCTTGATCATGTTAGCAACGGTCTTGCATCCAACGTCGCTGCTCGGGATGAATAATTAATACACTAGATGACTTGAACACGCGCACAGCAGAGGTTTGATATCGAGGTAGTTGGCAGCCAAGATGATCTCAAAGAGCATCTCCTGGTCGACATTAATGAACTTTTGATCCCATTCAGAGATGTCGGTCGTGCGCTTGCGCGTCTCGTCCTGCGATTGATCGGCATCGGCAGCAGGAAGGGGCTCGCCGCGGTGATGTTCGCAGTATTCCAAAACCTGTCATATTCGGAGTCAACAAGTGCATAGAATGTGCGCTTCCAGGCAAACCTTCTTCAGAACGCTGGAGGACACGTTGGGAAGAGGGATGGGCTGATCGGACTCGCCGACATCTGTGATGGGCTCAGTGGCTAGTCTGGAGATATCTAAGTGTATACAAACCCTCGAGCATGTTCCGGATGAGGACGCTACGTTCAACGATGTCCTTCTCGGTGGTGAACTGCTCATTGTCTGAGGTGACAAGGAGGACCATGGTGGGTGTCAAGGAAGGTTAATGCGTGAGGTGTGTGGAGGAGCAGAAGGGCACGGGCTTTATTTGTTTACTTTCGGCATCATCCGACACCGCTTTTTGTCAATTGACACCACTTGGCACTTGGTGACCACCAAATTCTTGCCTCTAGCTGCTTTCGGCCGTTGCATGCTAGCATGTCGTTCCTAACTCGCTGTCTTGACGCTTGTCGAAACCCGTTCACCTCAATAGGTTTGCTCTTGTCTGCTACGCCTATCCGTTCAGCGCCGACGCGATGATTCCTAGGGTCCGTGCGTACTGCTACCAAACGCGCGGGAGGAACGGTTCACAATCACGGTGGCTCTCCTGGTAAACGTTTGGGGGTGAAAAAATTCTCTGGTGCGAAGACTGCTCGTTTGTCTGCGTGCAAAGCACTCACTATGAGCAGATCAATATGTTATCCCCGGAAACATAATTGTTCGCCAGCGCGGGACTCTCTTCCATCCCGGAGCTCATGTCAGTCTCCTCTCTGCTTCTTCTCTTGCAACATTCTTTTCAACGCTGCCTAGGTCAAAATGGGGCGGGATCATACTATATACGCGATTGCGCCAGGTTTCGTGCGGTTCTACAAGGAGAAATGGATGCGGGGAGAACGCCGGTACGTTGGTCTCGTGCTACAGCGGGGAGAGGTACTACCTCGGGACGAATCCTCGTTTGGCCGCAGCCGGTTCTGTGGGCTAGTGAACTTGAAAAGTGTTACTGCTACAGAAACAATACAGGCATAATACATCATTCTTCTGTTGCGTCTCGATTCACCCGCGTTCCATCGACGTCTACCCAGGATAACATTGGGCAGATATCAGAGTTCTCTCCGAGAACCTTGAGGATTGCCTGCATCGTCCTCGTTGGATGGCTAGTCACCTCAATGTTCTCGATATGGGGCAATGTGCGCAGCAGAAACGATATTCTGTCGCACACCTGGTCTTGGCACTCGAACTTGTGAAACCGCATCACGCGCAAATTGGGACACTTGGGGACCCAAGTGGAGTTGTGAATGGCGTGAAGAAAATCATCGAATGCTCGCCCGTGGAAGACCCCCAGTTCGAGGGTCACCAATGCGGGAGTGTTCAGAGCTTCGAAAAATGGGGCACAGTCACTCTCATCCCCTGCATCCGTCTTGGCTGGGTGGAGCGCTGCGAATTTCAATTCTTGTATGGTCGAAATTCGGGCAGAATCTTGGGCTAGCTGAAGGCGCATGGGTGGAACAACGAAGTCGACGAATTCCAACGTCTGTGGGCCATTGGTGAGCCAATCGTTAAGGTGTCCGTCTCGGTCGATGAGTTGAGCATGTTGGCCTGTCAGTCGCAAGCAGCGTACTTCCCTGAAGGGCCAACGTATCGCACTGGTGCCGGACATCTCCAAGTGCCCCACTCCGTCGACAGACGCGAGTGGAATACAACCACGAAATCCAAGCCCTGCCCGGGGTGGCATGATGGTAATACCCACGACGCCCACATTGGGAAACGACTCGTTTTCCAGGCTGAGCAGCAAGATCCTCCAAACTGCCGAGCTAGCCGTTACTTTGAGAGTGTGGCACCTATAAAGATTCGATTTGAATAGCCCAGTAGCGAACGCTAGCAGGTCCTGAGGGTCAACGACCACCGGGTGTAAATCCAAATTCATTGAGATCAAGCGCTGGCCAGCACGAGCGAGTTGTGCGGAAACCAGGTCAACATGCTTTACATCCGTGTTTCGGATGGTGATGTTGAGCCAAAGACTCGAGTCTCCAAATGCCGCCTCTTTCCATGAGCGACAGACTTGGGAGACTCGATAAAGTTGACGGGTGTCGGATGAGAGATGAGCGAAGATCGAAGCAAGGAGTTCGACGGGAAAGTCCCCGAGTATGACCATGGCTTGAATAGAGAGTTATGGTTCTGCAGAGTATATATATGCGAGTCAGACGAGTCAGTGGTCCACTTCGGAGGAACAATGGGACACCTTGCATCTGCCATTTTAGGCAATCGAAGCATATGACTACCGCTGGAAGGCTTGATTTGTATGATCAGAGGCCCAAACTGCAACGCGAAGCCAAGCGGAATAAGCCGTCGAGATGGATTTAAACGCGCCTGGACCAACCTGTCACGACCACGCGCAAATCATTAATATGTCACGCGCGTGACCGTTCGTGCTTTATCGCATCGCCACAGGGGATGATACATAGCACGTGCTATCTTGGTACTTATCCGCTACTGTGTCCGAGCCTGTCCGAGCACGCGAGCTTATAACCCAGCCCTCTGCACAATCAAGATCGCACCGGTCTCCTCAAGCGCTCATGTCCGCAACCACTAACGCTCCGAAGACTCTGGAAGAGCTCAAAGGCCTCCTGAAAGATGACATCAAGGTCAAAGTCGCAGGTGCGTCACTTCTTTCTCATAACATTGCCTCCTGACATATCTTTCTCGTTAGGTGTTGACGGTAATTGTCCTCAATAGAACCCCTGTTTGCCGTCTAATCTGTGCAGTCGATGGTGTACTTCGGGGAAGTTCATGTCCAAGGATAAGTTCCTCAGCGCCGCTTCCTCCGACGGGTTTGGGTTCTGTAGCGTGATCTTGTGCGTGGCGGTCGTCATGATCATCTTCGAATGCCGACTATTTATAACCACAGTGGCTGGGACATTCATGACACGACATACTCGCGCGAACTGCTCATCTCCAACAAGGGCAATGGTTATCGAGACCTCATCGCGTCTATTGATCTGTCGACTTATCGCCGCATCCCTTGGGAGAATAACGTGCCATTCTTTCTGGTGTCTTTCCTAGATCCGGACACCCGAGAGCCTATCGTCGTCGATCCTCGTGGAATCATGCGAATCACGGCGGAGAAAGCGGCGGCGGCAGGTAGGCAGTGCATGGCGGGTGTCGAGTTTGAAGTCTGTCATTTCGCTTATCTATGCGCACCGATTCTGACCCGCCTCGAGTACTTCAACTTCAAAGGTAAAGCTAGGATAAGACTGGCGTCTCAACTCCTTGTGACGGCTCCTTTCAGAGAATGCCGTCTCCTTGGCGGAGAAGAAGTTTTCGAATCTGGAGCCATTGACACCAGGAAGCGAGTACTTTGTGCGGCGACAACAGGACAATCGGGCTGACAATGCGTGCAGTGCACGGATACTCGATGCTTCGCACTCAGCTCAACAACGACTATTTTCACGATCTTTTTGACAGGAGCGCTGACTTCGATATTGATATTGAGGGACACCGTCAGTATCTTCGTTTCTATACGCTGAACTAAGCTTATCTGATCTGACAGACACGGAGACGGGCCCCGGTGTTTATGAAACAGCGTTGGCATATACCTCGGCACTTCGCATGGCCGATAATGCGATTTTGTTCAAGTATCTGGCAAAAAGCATTGGGATGCAGCGGGGTGTAGTCCCAAGCTTTATGGCTAAGCCCTGGGGTAATGTACGTGTCGGTGTTTGATGAATTGATTCATCACTGAATTGGCGCAGCTTCCAGGATGCAGCGGGTAGGAACTCACTCCTCTTGGTATGAACCGACTCGTTTGTGATGGTCTACAGACACATCCACGTCTCGTTACGAGACAGCGAGGGGAAGAACATCTTTGCCGTATCAGAGTCTGAACTTGCTACCGGCCGCAGTGACGCAGCGTTCGATGACACCAAGTTCATGAGCAAGGAGGGCGAAGCTTTTCTAGCGGGAGTCTTGGACGGAATTGCTGACGGTCTGTGGAGTCCTGTTCTTCTACTTGCGTGTGTGTAACTTAAAATCTGCCCACAGTCGTGCCTCTGGTCGGTCGCTGAGACAATGCTTGCTTTAGTGCTGAATGTAGCTTGCAGCTCGTGCCAACAATCAATGGTTATAAACGTCTTGTAGGCGGGGCTGCATTTTGGGCGCCGAATGCTGTAACCTATGGTTATGACTCGCGAGCAGCCTCCATCCGGGTCATCTCACCACCTTCCGTCCCACCTTCTGCGACGAGACTCGAAATCCGGATCCCCGGAGCTGACATGAACCCATATTTTGCGCTCAGCGCTGCGTTTTTGTTGGGTCTCAGGGGTATCGAGAAGCAGCTCAAGCTCGAAATACCGCCCATCAGCCATTTCACTCCGGAAGACAGACTTTCCGGCAAGGTCGGTGCATGAGAAGAATGACTTCGTACATACAGCTGATCCTTCCGCCTGCAGGTCAAGATGTTACCGGTTTCTCTTGAATCCGCAAATGCCCGGATGATGCAGCCCAACAGTGTTGCTCGCCAGATATTCGGCGATCTGTTCGTTGATCACTTCGGCGGCACCCGAGAGCATGAAGTCAACTTGTGGAATGCGGCTGTGACCAGTTGGGAAGGAAAGTGAAGTCATGGGGCAAGGAATTGTGCACTGATTGATTCTGCAGTCGAGCGATACATAGAACTGGTCTAAGCAACATCACTCTTAGGGAGACTCGACAGCCATTTCATGAAATGAGGAACATCCTGGATATAATTTTGAATGCGAGTGTGTATTGAAGGACACTGAATTACCTCGGCTATCTTCGAGTCCATGCTCTTCTCGACGAAATACGTTGGAATGCTGCCTCCCGGTGTGCTTGAGGTTGCCATTCGCCATTCCAGACTCCCATCCTCCAACTCCAGCAGTCGCTCGACCGAGACGTACCTTCCTTTCACACCTTTCTCCTCCAGTTTACTTAGTTCTGTGTCCTCGCTCAAGTCAACGGGGATCGACACGATGATCCTGAAAACAACATAAATATGTGTATCTGTGATGCAGGAAATGGACAGTACGAACCCAGTGCGCGGTTTACTTTCTTCCAGTCGCGTCGTTTGTAGGACGGTGAAGACACGGGGCGAGATGATGGGCGGAGAGAACGTGTAGTACAGAGTCCAGATCTTCTGAGTGGGAGATATCTCCTTCACTTGGGTGACCTTGTGGATGTCAGGTATAAACCTAGCACGAGGCGTTCACTTTCAGGGTTAGAGAAATGCACTCTCAACACACTCTTTCTCGTTGATAGCCTTGTCCTCGCCTGACCGCTGCGGAGTCAGTCTGGGCTCAAGGGCATGCAAATGAGACTATAATACGCACCGAGTTTGGCCCACATCTGCTCGAATGTAGCCTCCTCAGGCTTGTGCACGCTGATTCGGCAGTGCCACGGCGCCCCATCTCCAGGCTCCTTGCCGCGCGACACGGTCTTGACCTGCTTGTGGTAGGTCTTTCCCTCCTTCCACGACGTCGTGGATGCCAGAAGCGCCTCTCCTGCTGCTATTATTTCGTCGTCGGACGGGATAGCAGCGGACTTGAGGGGTGTGATCGTGAGTTGCATAGGGATGGGGAGAGGAAGGAAGATGATCAGGCTATTTTCGTCACGACAACGGAACGTGTATTATCCCTGTCCTCAATAGGCGTATATGATGTCAGCCCTTGTTTGAAGTCTCTCACACCCTTGAGAGCTTCTGCTCTGAACAGAGTACTACTTGGTAGCCAGCACAAAGTAGGTGTCACGACCTGAACTCTCAGAGTCCTTCAGACCCAGATGACATCATTCATGATCTTGATGCTATCAGATTAGATCATGAGTTACCTTGAAGCGAACCGTCGTCTCGAAGTCTCGAACACCGGAAGCACAATCATGAGCTATGCCTTCAGTCTGGACTGTATAACTAAGCACCTGTAATAGCAATCAATGGACTTTTAATCCTCAGTTGTCTCTCTGGTATTGACCCATATACACTGGGTAAATCACAATCGCAAGACGAGCACAGCAGGTTACTGAGATCGATCGCTGAATTTATATCCGGACTATGCAGAGATCCGGTTCGAGAGGGAGTGAATTTGGTGCGGTGTTCCGTAATATGCATTGGGGAGCTGACTCCTCCACCATCAAGGACGAGTACCATGATATGGACTGCAACAGTGGTCGGCGTGTTTTCGATCTTTGTTGCTGTGGCGATCTTGGGATGAGCACTGGCGGTCTAACAGCAAAGAAATTTACATAGACAAATGGAAGGAGATGATGATTACAGATTCTCAATGGTTGAGTGGCGAAACTTGGTCACAGGTCAACAGACATTGATGGAACAGTTCAAAGAAGGCAGAGACCTGGAATGGTTTAGAACCGGATGGATGGTGGGAGACATCGTTGCCTACATTGAGAGACTGGGTGACAAGACAGTTCTTTCCCCCGACTCCCCATGTGTCCTCTCCAAAACCTTGGTAATTCCAGACATCCACAACAGTTTCACCGGATGTGAATGTTGCGGCCAGTTCGACATCGACTCGATACCGCGTGCCAGTGAAAAGTTCTGGCTGCGAGACATAGGCGATTGTCAGTGCGTCATGCAGAGGAGGACCGTCGTTAAAACCGAATGTGCTCTTGTACGACTCGGCGAAGAATCCAATCAGTGTTGACAGCGTGTGCCGCAGGCTCGTTGTCGGTGCGGGGAGAGGCACACTCAAGTCACGAGGGTCCGGCGACGACGGCGACAGAAGACGCGTATGAACGCTATGTGTGACGATGGCGGTGTGTGTTACGTTGATGGGAATCATGGCCTTCCTCACAGGAGTATCCAGAACGATTTGAGCTGCATGAGCTGCAATCCATATTATGCACCGCGCGCGATCTTGTTCTGGAATGAGCCACTCACGGTCGCATAATATATTGTACTCTGCAAATGTTGTTGTCATGAGCCTCTCATCGCTAACCGATCCATGACACGCACCAGCAACAGCCGACCGATTGCCCAAGCCAACTCCACCCCCCATGACTGGAAAGTTTCACTGGCAAGTCCGGCAAAGCAAACGAATCTGCACGTACACACGAACTCTTCCACAGCGATCAACAGATCTGGATACACCGACGCGAACAACGCGATGTTGGTCATCGGACCGCTGGAGATGATAGTGACCTTGGACCCCATCCCATTATTCCACGTCCGTTTCACATGGTGTGACATCCCCTCGAGGGCTCTCACCACCGCCCCCTCGGCATCCCGTGCAATCCACTGCTGGACCTCAGCACTGGCTGGATCTGGCAGACCCACGACACCCCCGAGACCGTCGACACCGTGGATTTCTGGGTCGTGCTTCGCGGGGCGCAGGAGAGGCTTGGTCGCCCCGGGGTAGACGCGCATATCCGGATACACCGCGGCCGCACCGAACGCGTGTAGACATCTCGCTGCGTTGAGCATCGTCCAGTCGCTGCTCGCATTTCCATGGGTCTGACTGAGGTTACTTCCGCGTCGACGGCTTGATGATGGCAATCCTGCTATACCGTCGAGATCCCCAAGGGCGTGATATTGGGCGCGTGGAGGGCTAGGAGGATCGCGGTGGCATCATCGTGGCCCTATTTTCGTGGGTAAGTTGATTGAGAAGAGACGAGGACTGCGGGACGGACAGGATCTACGTCGAGCCAAACGTACTTCATGGCACGGTGAGAGATTGCTTTCGGAACATCCGGCCCGGAAATTAGTCCTGATAAGGGACGGCCAGTCACGGTGCTAATTGCTCTAAGTTGTCCCGCACTCTCGTCGAAGCTACGCAAATGAATGGAGTCCTCCTCATCCTTCACCTCGTGCTGTTCTCATGCCCACCTATCTTTGCATTGAACTCCCGGGCTCCGACGCCATTGGGCTCGCTGAAGGCGCGACCCACAGCCGTCCATCGCCCTCGGTCCATGGATCACTTCCACCGCTCGAGATGGCGATCGATCCACCTAGAGCAGACAGAACCCATCGAATGGGATAGAATAGAGGTATCGGGTCCCGACGTAGAGGATAGAGGCACGCTGGCTCAGCTCGCGCGTATGAGCGCCAATGCCTACGCAACGCCAGGGAAGAGTAACTGGTACACCGTCGATGAGGCCTGGAACACTGTGCGTCTTTCCTTCTTCAAGCCTCTAGGTGGATGCTTCTGTATGCTTACTCGGAGACAGAGCTTTCCCTTCGGTTGGGAGGATCCAGAGAATGGGTTCCGGGGCCATGTATTCATCTCGTCGGACAACTCAACCGTTGTCCTTTCTATCAAAGGCACGACACTCAACGGGCCGACTTCGAAGCAGGATAAATTCAACGACAATCTGCTCTTCTCCTGCTGTTGTGCGCGAGTTGACATAAGTTGGGTGTTCCGGAAGGTAAGGGTCTGAGCAGTGTCATCGTGGCATACTCAGTGCATGCCCGACGCTTGCTTAGGTGTGCGATTGCTACAGGAAATCGTTCCGCTGTGATAATACCTGGTGTGTACGCTAGTTGTGCTACTGTACAACACGGCTGATACTCTCCAGTCTGACGAAAGCACTCGTCGAGGAGAGCTTGTTCTATTCGGTTGGTGTGGTAAGTCAAGCCATGCTCAGTTGCGTCTGGAAGCGACTGATACCGATGGAATCTAGCGGCTTGTGAATGATCTCCTCTTCCTGTATCCAACAGCCGATTTGTGGCTGGTCGGTCACAGCCTAGGTCTGTGGCCGAGTTGATTGGTTCTGTAGCCGTTTGCTCAACGTTGACAGGTGGAGCGTTGGCTGCCCTGCTTGGCACTACCTTCGGACTGCCGGCTGTGGCGTTCGAAGCCCCGGGCGAGCGACTGGCTGCGCAGAGACTGCATTTGCCTCTGCCCAAGCCTCCACTGGACAGCTTCCTCCCCGCCATCACGCATGTATATCATAACGCGGACCCGATTCCTCAGGGCACTTGCACAGGCGTCGCTTCTCTGTGCGCTCAGGGCGGCTTTGCTCTCGAGACGCGATGCCATCTCGGCAAGAATGTCGTCTTCGACGTCGTCGACAAGCTGGGCTGGAAAGTAGATCTCAGGACACACGTGATAAAGCGCGTTATCACAGAGGTCCTCGAGGGAAATGACATTGAATGGGAGCCTGGCCGGAGTGTCCCTCAAGCCAAGGCAGATACAGATTGCGTAGTATGCACTTCAGTCACATCTGTTTCCAGATGCTCATCGTTCTCAGGACTGTTTCAAATGGGATTTCGGAGAGTTTGGACCAGGAGACGGTGAAGATCTCATTGAAGCAGGCTTATGATGTAAATGAAGTTCCACCTATTAATCTACCTTGGATATAAACCCGGGCAATATTCCTGTCGTCTCCGCAGAAGAAGAACTGCTCCAGCTTGGCTGGCAGCGAATTCGGAGAGGACCAAATCGCTGGGTTTGTTGCGCTCGCACCCACATTGACGATCAGCGCATCAAAGCTCTTGCCCGCGTCCAGGGTCCCGATGTTGTCGAGACTACAGACACGGGCCCCTCCTTCGGTTGCTAGATACAGTAACGTGGCCACTGAAAGCTGCTTGTTTGTGAAGCCTTCTTCGCCCGGATCTGCCCGTGATTGCATCGCAAGCACCTTGGAAGCAATGCTGCAGTTCTGGATCGCATTCAAGATCGACGGCGAGTATCCACCAGACACGTCTGTGCCAAGTCCCACCTGCGTCGACATCAGCAGACATCAGCTGTGTGGCACACAGTGCGACATACTTTGATCCCATGATCCAGATAGACGCCCACCGGCGCAATCCCACTGTTCAGATTAAAGTTGCTCGTCGGGCAGTGGCTGATCCCAGCGTGCTTCTCGGCGATGAGGTGGATCTCCTCGTCCTCGAGATGAATCGCATGCGCTAAAATGGTGTTGTTCCGCAACAGCCCAAAGTGATCGTACACATGGGTGTACGACGGGCGCTCCGGGAAGAGCGCCTTGGCAAAGACCACCTCCGCTGGGTTCTCTGAGACGTGCGTCTGGATCCGGAGCGTCGGATCAGCCGCAGCCATCTCGCCCAGGGACGCTAGCAAGTCGTCTGAGCATGTGATCGCAAAGCGCGGGGTCAGGATGGGATGCACAAGGCGCGTGTCCGGCGATCCGAGTTTATCTATGTGGGACACGAGGCTCTTGGTAGCCACAATGGACGCTTCGGCCGAGTCCTCGACATAATGCGAAGGAGCGTGGCGATCCATGTTGCATTTCTGAGAAACCAATGAGCCTTGCGATTGAATCGAATAGAAGGGGCAGCCGCAATCACCCCGACAAAAGCTCGTTGTCCTGAATGTCCATTAGCTCGATGCAGAAAGGAGGATCCGACAGCAGTTCTCACCCTGGCGATGTACAATATCCGCTAGGATTTTGGTCCCCTCCACATGGAGAGTTCCGTAGTAGCAGCAGGTCGTTGTCTAGTGTAATCCATGAACCGATCGCAAGTTGCCGTTGAGGTATTGCTCACTCCCGCATCAATCATTCGGCGAACAACGGACGAATACGTCGCATGGGCGAACGCGGGATCAGAAAATCTCGATTCCATGGGGAATCTGCATGCGAGTTCTAGTACAAGGGTACCCATCGGGCGGGCATGGTGGACTGACGTGATCTTTTCTAGCCATTCCTGCCCTCATTGATGAGCGGTGGTATGTAGCCACTAAGACAAGAGGACGACGAACCAGCAACTCATACTGCTGCCCACTATGCACATGCTATCATCAGAACTAGTCATCGGGAGCTTAAGAAAGGACACTTACCTGCCCATATTAGGGACTTGCGGACCATGTGTATGAGTGTCGACGAATCCAGGCATAATAAACTCCCCGTCCCGCAAACAAACGACCTCGACGTCCTCAAAGCCGTGAGCAGCCAGAACCTCTTGGATCCCAGAAGCCGGAACGTCCTCGTCGACCCATGCGATATTTCCATCTCCGCCCACAGCCAGGAGACAAGCAGGCAGGGCCTTGAATAACGTCAAGGAGACCGGATTTATCACGGAGCCGTAGTACACGATCGGCCGCAGCGACATGGTGGTGGTAAGTGACAAGCAGAGCCAGGGGTTGGCATGTCGGCTTCAGACGCGCATATCGGACTGCTGATAACCTTGGCTGCTTCCAAAAGGGGAATCATAGACACCATGGAGGCGATAGTAGGGGGATGGATCGATCGACGCGGACATCGACACAAGGGTAGTAAGTACATAGGGGGATACAAGCTAGCATCACGCCGCCGCACGGTCACCTGGCACTTCGACAGATTCCGATGGAGGGTTTGACGTGTAGTGTGAAAACACCAGGATGCTATTCAACGCGTGCAGAGAACTAACTATTCGACGGCAAGTTCGCCCTCCGCAGACTCCGGTTCAAGACCGATCTGCTCCAACAGCTCGTCGTAGCGGATCCGCTGCGTCCGCTTGAGATAACGGAGCAACTTCGCTCGCTGGTGCACAACCTTCCGCAGCGAAAGCTTGTTCTGCACGTCATGCTTGCATCTGGCCAAGTGGTCGAACAGTTTTCGGATCCGATAGGTCAGTATCGCAACTAGACAAACCGTCAGTGCACAATAGACATGGAGAAAAAGTCCGTCCATACTTTGTACTTCGGTGCGGCCAGGGTCGAAGGGATTTTGCGGCGTAGAAAAGGCCAAGATGATCCTCCGGCGATTCTCGTACGCTATTCCCGCAGCGTCAGAGTTCCTGAGGTCAGTGAGCCGTTCAAAGTTGGCCGTGATGATAGCCTGCTTCTTTGCGGCAACTTCAAGGGCCTTCTCCAGTTTATACGGGCTTTTCAGGACCGCAGTGGGAACCTCAGTGCCTCCAGCAGTCGCCGTCGCCGTCGATGGAGGCGTTGCCCTCATCTCAACCTCCTTGGATGCATCAATGAATTTAGGAAGGTCGCGGAATAGCAATTTCTCCTCCGCAGGCCCAATTCCAAACGCTCGGTACAAGACGAACGGAGCCTGCTTCTCCTTATCTTGCCCATTCTCCTGCTTGTCTGTCTGGCTCTCTTTCTTGCCAACGGGGCTCTTTGTTTCGCTCGCGTTCTTCGCGTCACCGTTGGTCTTCACTACGCCAGCGCTCTCTGGTGCGTCGGCGTCCGCTAAAGCGCCGAAACGAGCGGCCTGCGCAGAGAGAACACGTTCCGGGTCGAATGGCTGATTGAGCCAGGATTCGTCGACAAGGGTCTGCGCCAATTTGCACTGCTGCCATTTATCCAGGTCGTTTGGCCGAGTGCCGAGAATGGGACTGGGCCGCGTTTCCTCGAGGTACCGCTCGCGCCGGGCCTTCTCTTCTATGCTTTGCTTCCTCTTGAGTGCGCGAGAGCGGAGTCGAGCGGGGGACGCTGCGTATATTGCCGCCGAGGTGTGGAACAGCGCGGACGAGCTTGCCCCGGTGTGTTTACATGCTGTGATAGGCCGCTTTGAGTCACAATGAAACGAAAAGGACGTGCACGCGTACTCTGCTGCGCACAGAGTCGAAGCATATGGATGGTGAACGCGCTCTATAGGCACGTCAAGGGAAGAGAGGAAAATCAACGACCGTGAGAAACAATTGCCATTTGTGATTTCTGATACTATGTACTGTAAGTATGCTGTGATATATGTTTCCCAAAATGTGCCAAATATTCCACATTTCATGTTCCTCTCAACCGGAACCTTCCAAGGGTCTATGAAAATCTCGTATAGGGCATAAAAGTGCTTACCTCCAGAGTAGACCTTTCCATTGAACATGAGGGCCTGGAATTTGTCGTAGATAGCGAGGACACCAGCACTGGCAACTCCACGCAGGATGTTTGCACCTGCGCCTTTGAAGAGAGCTTTGGGACCTTCACCTACCATGATCTAAATTGCAGACGGTCAACCGCTGCGACTCGGTTTTTAGCAGATAAACGTACCTGGCGAGCCGCATCCAACGTCGATTTGTAGTGGACGCCAGTTCCGGAGGTCATCATCATCCTGCGTCGCACCGTGTCCATCGGATAAGCCTACGCTGCTTTTCAGATCTGGGCAATGGATCTTTGGATGAAACGCGTACCGCAATGCCGGCAACAGTCGTGACGACCCAGCCCAGAGCGAAGGACGCAAGGAAGGAACCCTCCAAAGGTCCCACCAACACAGTCGGCTCTGATCATGATTCATGCGAGTCTGGACGAGCGAATGAACGAAGGGAAGCATACTCAGTGAATCGTAGAATCCGAAATAAGTCCCCCGGTAGACCATGATCCCGACGATCGAGGGGCCAAACCCACGATACAATCCGCGAACGCCATCGGTGGCGAGGGTCTGCTTGTAGACATCGAGCAGACCGTTGAATTGGCGGGTGCCTCCAGGCTTGGTGGACTTGGCGTCACTGCTCAGACGTGTTCGCGCATAATCGAGAGAATAG